AAAATAACAAAAATATTATTCTATCTATATATTTATCGATTAAATCGATATAACTAGAAAAAATATCCCCCATCACCCTGGTCCGAAAACGTGCGAACTTCAGACGGAATTGCATTGCTACTGAATTTGAGTCGTTAACTTCGCGGTTGCTGGTTCAACGCTGAAACAACACTTACATTGCAATGTTATCTCGGGTATTATCCGAGATTATGCATGGCGCTCGAATCGAATCGAAAGAACGCCCAGAACATTTTAAAATTATAATATATCATAAAGTCAAAAAACCCCCCAATTACATTACAGCATGAATTTCTCACAGCTCTCTAAAGCCGAGTTTGTGAATAAACATTGTATTAAAATACATTTATATACATGTGTCCGATGGCAACAACTTCCTATCATATCCCATCATTTCGAACTTTAGACACTTCCATCAACAAAATGGTTCAAGAAAATAACAAAAATCTGAAAAATAAATCAAAAATTCTGTGACAGACTGTGCATATCTCTCGTTCATGCAAAATCAACGTAAAGAGAGCGTGTAAATTTTGACACATGCCGTTGATGTGTTGAAGTCTCACAGCCCCTGCCCTTTCAATGGAAATACCATTGACTGGCGCTGCCCTCTGGCAACACCATATAAACAAAAGTCATGGGAACATTTAAAAATCGCAGAGTTTTTTGTATTTTTTTTTTTTTTTTTTTTTTTGCGTCTTATTTTTTTACATTTTTTGTGACATTTTAAAGCAATTTTTGTCGGCTTGTCGCCGTCTGACCAAAAACTCAGTTCAACATGTGTCAATTGTAGTTAAAATTGAAAATTGTCTCTGAACGTAGACTGACATCTACATAGAGCCCACAACGCATCCATAAAAGGTAATTCGATTTTACTTAATTTATTTTATGTTATTACTGTATTTTTGTCTGCGTAAAGTTTTGTACTCTAGAGAACTCTACAGAACTGACAAAGTTAATTGGGGTAGGATCCAATTTAAATATTTATATGAATCTGTGTTGGCGAGTTGTGGCTCCCGTTCGTAATTTATTAATAACTCTTGGAACGCATGGCTGTCATAAATCTCTCATACTTGCAGGCATATGCGAAAACATTGTTTTAATACCCTTGCACAGGGTACAATAGCTAACTCATGAATTGTGTAACGTGTCGAAAGCATTTCTATACTAATTATCATTTAAAAATATAACTTTGGTTTGAAGTACTTCATAAACCCGAACACAGAGACAGAATTTGGATTTCGATGTTGCTCGCTTTACACGTTAAAATTCGCAAAGAGTTTAAGCTTGAATCGAGTGACAAGGTGTGTGCTAACCTGCTGTAGACAATAATGCCCGCTAATGATAGAACCAGCATTTTCTCCACTGCCTGCTTAAATTTCATATTGATTTACTTTGTAGAAGACACTCCAGTTTTAAATTTATCTCTTAACTAAATAATGTCTAACCGAAATATAATTAAAAAAGAAGCACACATCTGCTTAATATATAAAAGAGTATTTGAGCTTCGGTAATTTAAAATTAAATGTTTTCTCTTGTTTTTAATATTAAATCAGCGCCCGAGTCAGAGTCGGCAGTTCTGTGCTCCGGTTCTCTGCACGTTTTAATTAAGTGTACACTTCCATAGTCTTGAAGGCATCTTGGTCTTGGCTGTATCTTTGTCTTGTCTGCAGCGGCATATGGCAATGAAAGAATTATATCAAAACATTGAGAAAAACAACAAAATCTTCTGAATCGGGGGAGGATTTCAACATTGGCAACGAGGCAAATGATGCCACTCGAGTGCAAACTGCACTTGAAATGTCAACTTTGTGTCGGTTGATGCTAAACAAATGATATTTTCAGCACTTAATTGCCATATATAAGAAAGTTCACGATAATCATGCAGATTGTAATAATGATGAATAATGAAAAATAATGATCATGGGTTGGCTAAGCAGCTGCAAGTGCGGAAATGCAATACTTTGTTGTATTTCGTTTGCTTCAAGCCGCAATGGATTTTCAAATAACACTTTAACGCTCTATTAGCACTCATTGAGGCTTTAAAGATTCATGAACTGATAGTTGGGTGGGCTAGGTCGATTAGCATTAGCCCAATGTTGATGTAAACAATGGAAGGCGTGAGGAGCATAAGAAAATTAAACTCACCGTCTTTACAGTTGCAGCTCTTTTTTCCAAAACAAAGTTTTCCAAGGTATTGTTTTAGTATTATCTACTTTGTTTTTGCTATTCCAAAGTCCATGCCTTAAATGCATCAAGAAAGAGATATATTTAAACATTTATTTTATATTTATTGGAATTAAATTAGTTTTGTTATGCTCTTAATTTATAATTGTAGAAGTATTCAAAACGCGAGAAAGAAAGTTTACATAGAAGAGATAATAAATGATCGTGTAGAACAATAAAAATATAATTGATATGATTTAATAATATCGACTGAAGCTGGCAAAAGAAAGGCCTGACATTATTATAATCATGAATTTTTTGGAAATGAAATGTATATTTATTGCCAAATGTGTATAGATTGAAATAGAGGCAACTTATATTGTCATTTTTATACTCTGAACCCATTAAAAATGAGTATAAGGGTATATTGTATTTGAGCAAAATGTAAATGTATGTAACAGGCCGAAGGAACCATCTCTGCCCCATAAAGTATATATATTCTTGATCAGCATCAATAGCCAATTCGATCTAGCCATGTCCGTCTGTCCGTTTGTCTGTCCGTCCGTCCGTCCGTCCGTCCGTATGTTGAACGCAAGGATCTCAGAACCTATAAGAGTTAGAGACTTGAAATTAGATGTAGATTAGATGTAGGTGCTCCTAGTGCCTACGCAGATCGAGTTTGTTTCCGATAATCGATAACTTATTCCGTTTCCAAGCAATCGATAAAAATCTATATCGAAATCCTATTTTTTGGGCAATTTTGGTAAATAATAAGAGATAGAGTCATCAAACTTGACACACAGCTTCTAAAATAGAATATATATATGCATTTGATGTTGGAAGAAGAGGGTTCAGGGTATCCCCTATCCCGACTAGAACCTCTTACTTGTTTAAATTGCAGGCTGTTGCATAAGGCAGCAGAGAGTTTTATAAATAAATAAATAAGGCCTATATTGTGTAATTTAAGTAACTAAATTCTTCAAGATATTACCTGATACTTATAATAAGATACTTAGAAGTAAATCCCTTGACTAAACAGAAATAAATGACATTCATTTCGTTTTATACATTTCTTATAATATGACCATGGAGGACCATTAGGGCAACAAAGCTGAAGGGGATTTAGTAGCTTCTACCAATTGTTGTTTAAAGTATTCCCCGAAAACTGTCTCGTGTAGCTGACTTGTCAGCCCCCCCTCCGCACAATCTTCAGCTGCCCGTTGTCACAGGCAATTAGCACTCGTTTCCATTTCCATTTCCTATTTCTAAACCTCCGTCCGTCCCGCTCTGGATCGCTTAATTTAGTTCCATGCGCTTTGGTTGGAAATATTTTCGACATTTGTCACAACTGTTTAAAAACACATTAGAGCAAATCTTTACTCTCTACAGACACAGACAACAGAGCATTCCGCGCCAAAGAAATAGAAACTAAATTTATGACCCCGGACAGAAACTTGACATTCGTTCTTGAAGTTGCTTATTTGTTTTCTCATTTTTTTTTCATGGGCGACAAAAATGTCGAAGTCGCGCGAGTTGATGTTAACAATTAGACTAATCGAGTGATTTACAACAACAAGAACAACAACAGTAACAACAACCAGAGCGAGACAGGCATGTGTCAACGATTTGACAGCTTAAAATATTTTTCTCGCTAGTTTGGTAATGCCTTTTGCAATAGCCGACGAAGCCGGCCGGAAAGCTGCTTGCAACTGCCAGTCAGACGCCCAGAGAGTCAGTCAGTTTGTCTGTCAGACTGTCAGAGTGTCAGAGTGTCTGTCAGCTTGGCTTGCCACACGCTTTGGCCACAACAATGTCTAGATTTATGCTTCAATGGCTTTGGGGCGCGCGTGACTAATTGAAAGTCTAGCGAGAATTCTGGGAATCGCGATAAATTCAGCTTGCACAGTGGCTTTTAAACTGTAAATAGCTTTAAAACGCTTCGGTTTCAGTTGGCGAAATTATAAAAATTATATAAAAATGGCAATTAGTTTAATAGAAATTTTAAATTATTATAGAAAGTTGACTTACTTTACTACATTTTGGAACTTAATTCAAAATTAGCTTATTTTCAAAATTAACTTAAGAGATACGAAAATTACATAGGGAGGAAAAAAATGCAACACAAAAATATTTTGTTGCGAAAATGTGAATCAAATTCAAAATTTTGATTAGAAATATTTCAAAAATTACAGTTGACAATATTTCATATTTTTTTAAAGCAGAAGTTAACTTGTCTTTGAATCTCACGCAGCTTGGAACACATATTTTTTATTGATTTGTATGCCTTTAGAAATGCCAATTTTTCGCAAATGTTTGCCGAGCGGCAACATCAACAAGCTAGGCAAGAGAAAAAATGTGTTTCTTTTATTTTTATAGCCATTTAATTGCTTCATTAAATTTAGCCAAATTTGGCCAAAGTTGTTGTTGTTGTTGGCGGCGGCGCCCGCGGCAACTTGGAGGCTTTGGGGCAGGCTTTACGTAACTGTAATTCAAATGTTTGACAAGTTGTTGCAACATTCGCAACAGCGGACCAACTAAAACAACAGCAACAACAACAGCAACAGCAACAGCAACAACAACAAGCAAAGCGTGTTACAAGCCACGTTCGCAACGCATTTAGGCGTTGCAATTATTTTAATGGTCAATTTATTTATTTGTTTTGACTGTTGCGAATGTTTTTCACGTTTCGCCTTTTTCAGAATGCTTCTTGTTGTTTAAACTGTTGTTGTTGGCATTTGCATAAATCACTTGAAGGTTTCGCTGTTAACGTGATTGAAGCTTTGCATGAAATCCTTTTATGTCGCTCTTTCCGGTTAACGGCCACTTGATTCGAGCCCAAATGGCCGCAGTCTGGGCTGTTATTTAAACCAAGTTAAGCTAGTTGCTCTACTTGTCAGCTGCGAGAATTGAGTTTTCTCTTTGCTGCAGTTGCATTTAATGCACCAATTTAACGATAAGAAAAGTTGTGGGCCAAAAAAGTTTGCCTTGCTCAAGCATTGAACTTTTTATTACCCACGCGCAAAATAAGACAAGCAAGTGAAACAAGTAAGAATTGATAAAACCCAAAAAGTATGCGACATAAAGATGCTCTATAAATAAATTAAAGGGAAAAATAAAAGTAATCAAATTATCTATTTAGATAAAGAACTCTTTGTGTTTGCAATCTGCTTTGGACTCTATCCTTAATTGTTGTTATTTTTTATTTGCTTGTAATTATGAATATCACCTAAATAAAATATTTATGAAAATTTATAATACTGCTTAGTCTACTAATAATTAACATAGTTGAGGTGACTATTTAAAAGGAACTGGAAGCTCGATTGGATGAGAATAAAAAATTAAATAAATTAGAACTGATTTATCGGACTGAGCTCTCTTTTAATACCTCTTCTCCTTAATTTCTCTCTCTTTAGAGAGCAATATTTGTCTATTATGCACATATTACGCATTCTTAAACGTTGCACTGGCTGCGTAGGATTTGATTTAAATTGTATGCCTTATTAATCCTTGACAGATTTTCCTTTTTTTTTACTATTCTTTATTTTTAGCATTCTGGTTTGTGTCGTGTTCTTAGGCCTTGCACTGGCTGCGTTTCATAAATAAAAATAATAACTAATATACTCCATTCTATTTAGCTAAAAATGGTATTTATTCTACACCTTCTGTCTGCCATGTGGGTTTATTCGGCACATAAGCCAAAAAATTATGCGCTTCGCTTGTTAGCCGCCTTATCTAAATACTAATGCCAGCCAAAAACTTATATTTCTTGGGCTGCAAGACTTAATAATTTTGCAAATATATATAGATAAAAATAAAATGATGTAGATAACAGACATGTGAGTAGTATGCATATGACGAACAACACAACCAAACACATAACAAAATGCCTGCTATTTATTTATTTCTTTTTTTGTTTTTGTCTTTATTTTCGGCTGTCTGCTAGACTTTTGTCTGTCTCATACAATTTCGCGCTTGTTTATTTTTAAAGTTTACGATGCGACGATTCAGTGAGTTTTTTCGGTGATTACTGCATTTGGTTTTATGGCCTGAAAGTTTTTCTGGTTTTCAACAATTAGTAGGGGGTAAAAAAAAAAAAGCAAACGTTGCGCCCGATTAATTCTGGCCATTGAGCAATAAATATTTAATGAGCAGAAACCCTGCTAGTTAAATGATGGACTGGCAATTGTTGGTTTATATTTTATCTAAGCCATAATTCAATGGCCGAACACCGCTAGGCTTTTGCTAAAGCTCTATAACAGCCTCTATCAATTCAATTAACTTGTCTCACTTGCATATTTTAAACATTCTGTTGTCTAATTTGACATGCAGTTTATCAGCTAGCTGGCATCTGAGAACGGGTTTTATTTTATGGCCAGTTATCAATTGGAAGTGGATATTGGATATAACAATAACTTAAGGCTGACCAAATATTAACACATATTTCAATGCCACGCCTTGAATGTGTTTTTTTCTCTTTTCTCTACCATCTCTCCCTCTATCTTCATATTTCTTTGCTGTTGTTTTCCCATTTGTTCAACACGTTTTTATTGTTGTTGTGCTTGTCAATTGCCAGTCAGTCCAATAGCTGATAAAAATGTCAAGTGCCGCCTTGTCTGCCCCGAGGGCTGACAGCCTCCACTTGCTGCTGCTGCTGTTGCTGCTGCTGCTCGATCTTCCACTGCCCTATAGAAAGACTCTTCTCTGTCTGCCTGTTGCGTTCTTATCGACAACTTGTTTCTGGCCAGGCAGCAGGAAGTTGCAGTCAGAGACGCGTGCACTTGCATTTTGGACCTGACTTTATCTCTGATCAAGGTTAGTGCAATTGACGTAGACAACATAATTTCATGAGATAACTTATCGATAGGCTGCCATGGCCATGGAACAATTGCAGTCGGAGAGAATCTATATAGGCAATTATTTTGTGATGGGTTTGAGGAATTAGCATGGTATTTTTTTTTTAATTTTTGGATACAATAATATATATGAATATATATTGAACTTTTTCTAGTTTTTTTTTTTTTTGTATGACAACTCCTCCATGTATTTATTTATCATCTTTCTGTGTGTGTTCTAATTGCCTCACCTGTTCCAAGTAAATTTTTGCCGTCTTCTTCAATATTAACTTGTAGTGCATTTACATAAATTTTAAACAAACCTTTATTTGACCCATTCACTTTGCCCCCATGTTCACATGTCTTCTGTGAGAAATTGTTTTCAACGCTTTTCCTCAATTTCTATAGATTAAACCTCGAGAACATGTGTCCATGTTCCCTTTAATTGCATCAAAGCTGCCTTAAAAAATCATATTAGTTTGCATTCCCACCTGTGCTCCTTGGTCACAGGCAGTTTTTCTTTTTCACTCATACCTTTAAAAATATATTCATACCGTTTTTTTTTTTCTGGTTCACAAATCATTTGGCAGCATGCAATAAATTTCTCAAGACATTCACTAATTTGCCTGGTCAGCAATTTCTTACGTTTGCTGTCTCTATCCGATTCGCTATCTCGCTCTAATCTTATCAGCGCATGTCGTGCCGTCTTCTGGCAGCTGATGTTGTTATACCCTGTACAAATCGAAAGTGGGTTTAATGATTCGCTGTGAATGTTTGTTACAATGGTCTCTGAAAGTTTATCTGTATAAACATGAAGGGTTTGTTGTTAGAAATATATATATATTTTTTGTATAGCTTAAGTAAATCAATTAAATCAGCTTTTATCAAAATTTTAAGCCATTTCTTCTCAAATCAGTAAAAATCGTATTCATAGCAAGGATTCTCAAGCTAGTCTAATGACTAGATTCTCGTTTAGTATCACAATAATTCCACTTCTCCATAACAAAAGGAGATAGATATAAAGGCCATAAGATAATCGCAAAAATCCAAGATAAGTCCAAAAGCAAAGTCCAGGGTATTTTCGAGTCGTGCACGCTCAATAGTTGTTGGCTGTAATCAAAACCAGGCAAAGCAAATTGATGTTGCCGCTGGCAGACGCACGCATGCGCAGTGCTTGGCTTTGGCCTTTTTTAACCAGTGGCTTTTCCGCCAGTGGCCAGCACTGCGTGCGTTTTATCAGCGTCTGCGAATCGGGAAAAACTAGCGGCGAAAATGTGTTGTTGCAACAAGTGCCGTGGAAATTTGATAGACTCGTTGTTGAATGTCGCCTGTCGCGTTGTGTTATCGCAATGCGACTGACATTTTGGCCATGGCTTATGAGCGGGTTTTTCTTTTTTTGGGGCTGCTGTTGCTGGAAAATGTCGCTGGATGGCGCCAGCCGGCTTAGCCACGTTTTATAATCAATTACCCAGGCTCAGAGCTGGTCAAAAGGCCACACCTTGCACACACACACACACACACACACACACACACGCCTTTTATTGGTTTTAGTTTTTCCATTTATTTGTATTTTTTTCCGATCTTTGGCAATCGATAGACCCGCAACACGCGACATTTTTGGCATTTTGGCCAAACAATTTTCCAAATAGTCAAGAAAAAATATATATAAAAACATATAAATATCTCGTGTCGGTTGCTGCTGCCGCCGGGCGTGTTGCTGGCGTTTGGGAGTCGCCTTCTTTTTCTTTTTTTTTTGTTTTTTGTTTGTTGACAGCTTGCAAAATTTATGACACGATGGTGGCGTTGGGTTAAAGTTTTTATTTTTTGCACCCAGCCAGCGGCAACAGGCGGCTGCTACAAATCTATAAGCTTTGCTGTTGTTGTTGCAGTTGCAGCTACAAAGATGTACACAACTAAATGGAAACATCAGCGCCTTGCCCCAAAGTGACAGAAGCAACAACGTTGTTCGCCGTGCGGCTAATTTATAGCGCAGCCAGTGAATCTAAAACTGTTAACTGTAATATTGTGGTTTGTTAAGCTCCCAAACAGACTTTTGGCCATAAATGTAAATAAATAAGTGAGCTAAAACATATAAAGTGAAAAACGAGCGAGCGGCTGTGTTAGTTACAAAATTACTTGCTAATTAAGTTATAAAGTGACCATGGAGGTCGATAATATGGGGGCAGTTGGAGGCGGCATATGAAGGACCTTCGCTTGTAAAATTACACAAGGAAAGCTACTAATAAAGTGACAATGGAGGACAACACGATTATTTACTCAAGCGACAATGCCTTAGCCTTATTTACAGACAGCTCATTGATTACGCTTTTAATAGGGATGGACGTTAGTTTGAAAATTGATATATAAATTGTTTATTAATAAAGTGACAATTTGGCATTAAATACAAGGTTTGCTACGTGCCATTAGAAATATGCATTAGCTGAAACTATACAGGGATCCTTGTTCAATAAAGTAGGATAAGACATTGAAAACTATTCTCCTTTCTTTAAAGTGACCATGGAAGACATGCGACGAATATTCATTCGATCTGCTTAAATGCTGACTTCTCATTAGTTTCTTTAGTTAGGAAAAAAAACTGTATTACTGTATACAGACCTATTACCAAGTAAAAATGGCAAGAATATGTAAAAATAATTGCTAAATCAGGCTATGTTTAACTGACAATGGAGGAGTGGGCATTATGTTTAAGGAACTTTTCGCAGAACTTGAAAATTGTATACAATTTTATATCTTTCCACCTGACAATCTACTTAAGTGAACCAGAAGAACAACCCTTTCCCACATTGTTTTATATTATTGCTTATAATAATGTTATTATTAATAATTAATATTATAATTAATATAGATAATATTTTTATATTTATTTCTTTCTTCTCCTGCTTTTCAGACCTATCAAATCTTTTTCGTCATGCTCAAATCGGCGAACTCACCGCGTCCCGCTTCCTGGATTTTGGAAAAATCAATCGATGGCATTAAGTACGAGCCCTGGCAATACTTTGGCTTAAGTGATGCGGACTGTAAGCGACGCTACAATCTGTCCGGCCGGAATGGCAAATATATATTCAAAAACGACACCGAAGTCATATGCTCGACGCAGTACTCAAAGCCGCTGCCGCTGGAGAATGGGGAGCTGCACGTGTCCCTGTTGAAGAATCGACCTGGCGCACAGGAGCAGACACCGGAGCTGATGCAGTTTATCAGGGCGCGTTTTATGCGCATACGATTGCAGGGGATGCACTCCACAGCGAATCTGGACAATAGCGTCGATTGGGTGCTCGACTCGCAGTCGCTGGAGAAGCGCAGTTTCTACAGCCTCAAGCAGTTGCGTGTCAGCGCCCGCCTGGACTGTCACGGTCATGCGAATCGCACCCAGGATGTGCCAGGCAGTTCCATGCTGCAGTGCGTCTGCCAGCACAATGCGTGCGGCATGCAGTGCGAGGAGTGCTGTCCACTGTTCCAGGATCGTGCCTGGACGCCCGGCGGAGATTGTGAGATTTGCCAGTGTAATGGTCATGCGCACAGCTGCAGCTACGATTCGTTTCTGGAGCGTGGCATTTGTCAAAATTGTGCCAACAATACGGCGGGCAATGAGTGTGAATTTTGTGTCGGCGGTTTCTATAGACCCTTTGATGCGGCGCCCAGTGAACCCTGTCTGCCCTGCGCATGCAATCCGCAGCGATCGACAGGCAGCTGTGCGCCTGTGGGTGGCGCCTGTCATTGTCTGGAGGGCTTCCAGGTAAGAGAATTTTAATCGACTATTCGATTTTTTCAATACCTATCGATTTTTGTATATTCTAATGTGCGTCGTTTCTGATTAGTCCATAATTGGTAAATAGCTTAAATTGTTTAGCGTCTAGTTTTTCGCGTAACATTTAAAGTGCTTATAACAAAATCGATATTTATCGATTTTTATGCAGGTGTAAATATATTCATATTTAAAGAATCTTTTGAAATGTGGTTTTTAGGA